AACTGAATTCGTGATTTAATATCGTTGAGATTAATTTTCATGCTAGGGTAGGACTAAGTGCAAAGCCAAACAACGAAAACACGAGGATCCACGAATGTGTTGTGGTGCGAAAGAATGTCGTACACAATTAACTTAACTACACATGCTGTGACTGTGGCTTGTTAGACAAATTTGCGCTTGCATTACTTCAGACTGCTCACGGCCGTAGCGAAAAAGGTACTAAGATATACTCTAAATATCCGAAACCAAATGTGCCCTGGGCTTACTGAAACCATTCTACGATCCCGCTCTTACACGTCAGTTGGACGCCAAGAGCTCTCTTGTAGACGGAACAACGTCTCAACCGTTCACTGTGCTGAGCCACCCTCTGCTCGAATGCAACGACGCATTTCTGATACCGCTGAAAGTCACTGAAGCCAGTTAGTTTTCTGGCGAAGTACTAAGAACAAGTCCACATTCTGGCCCATCTCGGCCTCGGACGCAGGCTATGCCTTTCGGATCGAGTCGACGTACCGCCCTAACAAGGAAGCTCGTGAAATTTCTCGATGAACAAGGAGTGACTTGTTTTTGTCTGGTGAATCGGCGGATACACCACCCTGGCGACACATGCCCAAGCCGATACGCGAGAAGGAGGCAATACTGTGCTCAGTCTCCTCGCTGCACCAGCCTCAAACTGCGTGCCTTTTTCACCGACAGGAAGCGTTTTGACACCCTGTAGTGGAGCCCACGACAACGTTCAGTTCACTAGTGGAAAGCTTGCTGTAGCGGGTGACCCAAACTCTTTTTCCACGGAATAAAAAGGTTGAGGGGGCGGCATGTCATTGGTGACCACAGTACCGGCGCAATCTTGTCGAAGAGGAATCTCAAAATACCATGATATTTTAGACTGATGTTAATTCTTTCACTAGTACCGAGGTATTTGGCCGCACTGCGAAGATTTACTGTAAAAGATCCCATCATTGAAAACCACGACGTCTTCACCGAAAATTTCTTCGAGCACATTAGCCGCGAATATCGCGCCTTTAGCGGGGCTTGTTGATTTTTTTAACAAGCCACAGTCACAGCATGTGTAGTTAAGTTAATTGTTTACGACAAACTTCGTACCACAACACATTCGTGTGTGCCGGATTTTGGCATCAGCGTGTTTTCGTTGTTTGGCTTTGCTCTTAGTCCTACCCTAGCATGAAAATTAATCTCAACGATATTAAATCACGAATTCAGTTACGAAGTGTAGCCCGGTCGATGCCCGCAAGTCAAATTCAACTAAAACAAAATTGAATCCACTTCGTGAAGGTGTCAACGACACTCG